TTTAGAATCATAACTTTCTGCAAAGCTCCAGAGAATGAACGATATTTGAGAGGCAGATCTTGCTTAGCTCTATGGCAGTGTTTCTCAACTTTGCTGGCTGGGGAATTCTGGGAGTTGAAGTCCACACATCTTAAAGTTGTTAAAGTTGAGAAAGAATGCCCTAAAATTCAAACCTAAAAAGCCAATGCATGAAAATGCTCTTTTTTCTTCATAACAATGCCCAAGTCTATGATAGTCCTCTTTGGCATATTTTAGATTGTTTTTTCTAATTTTTTTTTAAAAAACCTGCTAGTTCAAACTTACTAGGATACATTCTGTGTCTCCATTTTTGTGGAGAGTAAGGTCAAAAAAATAAAGCCAGGTAGTTGGAACACACCTGGCACAATTGCATCGTTCCATTTACTATGCATTTGTGGAATTCCCCCAAAACATATTGGGGGAAATATACCAAGGTAAGGAGAACCTGCACCAAAGAGAGGTACAATGAGAATTCCTGTTAATAGAATATGAGATTCTGAATCTCCTTTCCAGATTTGGGATGGACAAGAATTAATAATGCACTTTTATACTTGAGATATAACACCCAGTCCTTCTTTCTGAGTAGCAGAAAGAGAAATAGTGTAAACCCACCAGTGTGATATTCCGTTTTCTTTTGGCAGGTAGTTCAAAAGCGCAAATGCATTGGGTCAATATTTGTCAAGTCAATGGTGAAAGGATGCAAGGTGTTGCCTCAAGAATGCCATTTCACATGCATGGTGCACAATGGATTCATGGCACATTTTTTCACACTTTTCTATGCATAACGATTTGGGGTGTGCACTGTTTCGCATGAATGTTTATTGGAGTAGCAGAACCAAAGTTGGAGTTCTGAATTTTAAGCAGTGTTGGTGGAATGAGCCGGTCAATTTCAGAAATTGATATACTTCTGTCCCTGAAACACTTTAATGTATATGTGATAGATTTATGAAATGGTGGTCAAAAGTCCTTACCATGGGCAGTGATGGTCCATTTTTAACACACATCTATTAAAAAAAAAAAGATAAAAAATGTCAGGAACCACAGAAAAGAAGTAGAAACCACAGACTTTGTTCTTTTCTAGATCCAGGATTCTGCTTGTGTTTTTTTTTTAAAGGTGATGTCATTTATTAGTGAACGATAAAATTTCCAGGTTGCAATTTCATTTCCCAGAAAGTCTCTTTGGTCATGATGCCCCCTTGTGTTTCTGTTATAGCACGTACATCACAGGACACAGTTGCAGTATCTTAGGTCTTGATTATCCTTTGAAAAAGGGATTCTGTGTTTGCTACCAGCAGTTGAATGAATAAGGTGTTTGTTTAGATTTAAAGCTTTGCAGAAAATTGCTCCGGGTATCAGGCAAACATTGCTGACAGTGAAAATATAAACTTCATTTACCCATGTAGTAGGGCTGTATTGATATTATCCTCCCTATCTTCTCTACTACCTCCTATCTATGATTTATCATATTGTTGTATATTATGATTAATGATTATATCTGCGATGTATATGATATATGATCTATCACTTTGTTGCGGATATGTACACTGAGAGCTTAGAGACAAATTCCAATGACACTTGGCCAATAAAATATATTATCTATTCTATTCTATTCTATTCTATTCTATTCTATTCTATTCTATTTCTATTTCTATTTCTATTTCTATTTCTATTCCTATTCCTATTTCTATTCCTATTCCTATTCCTATTCCTATTCCTATTCCTATTCTAATCTAACTCGACTCTACTTTAATACTCCCTCAATAACCTACAGATAAAAACAAACTACCACAAAAATTCTATGCAATGCCAAGTACATCCATTTTCTTTTTTAACTGTTGCCACCTTCAGTTCAAAGTCAGCCTGGAGATTTTGCCCTCCCCAACAAGTATATACTTCTCTCTCTACCTGAACCTTTCTGCCAGAAGCAACACAACTAAAAAGAAGGTGCTGGACAAAAACAAGGCTGTAATAATAACAACTGAAATTACGTGTCTGCAAAAGTAGACGCCTTGTTTATAAGGATGATGAGGCAGGATAAACAGGGAAGAGGGCCCTTTGGGTGTTGCAAGGGGGTCAATTTCATCAGGGAACCCAAACATTTCCTAAGCAAAAGCCCATCATTAGGCTAATTTTTCAAAGAGAGTCAACCTTGCCTGCAGTCCTTCGAACATCACCGTTTCTCCTGTCCTCTGTGTTTCTCAGCCCGACAATCCCACTGCCAATTCACAGTTAATCATTGGGTTGGGTTGGCTTGGGTTGGGGTGAGATGGGGGAATCTGCCTTCTGACTGGCCAACACAGCAGGATAATATCCTAATAATCGTCTTAATCATCGAAATGTGGGTAGGTTTCCAGCATTTTCTCACTCAATAATTTGACTAAGACCCGGAAGATCTTCTGCAAATGAGAGGCAGGACCAGAGTCTCACCTAGAGACAAGTAACAGGATGCCTGTGCCAACTCATAAAACATTCCTGTGCCTGTTTTAGTAGTTGCCATAAAAAAAGGGGGTGGGAAGGAAATCTGGAAGGGCAGTGCAGCAGTTTGGAAGCGAAAGTACATTCCAACTCTTCTCTTTAAAAGAGAAGTAACTAAAAACTAAAAGATTGTAACTAAACTACCAGAGCTTTTGCCCAGGAACATATTTAATTGGAGAACATGAATGATGACACCCAGCCTGTAAAGGTGCTCAACTGGAGAATCTGATTTATGAGACACCCAGGGGGGAAGTGAGGGGAAACAGGGTCACAGGGGACTGTGAATTACGTAGGCCAGAGTTGGCTTCATACGGGGCAGGGCCAGTATGTTGCCTCTAATGAATCCTTTGAAGCGTTTTGAAGTTTGGCTCGAGAATCATGATTTAATTAGGGCGATTGCTGGAATCCTGACAGCCTGAATGAGCCTGGGAGATTGGGTGAAGAGATCCACCTCAGAGAACCCACAATTTTGGGCTCAATTGTGGTAGTCTGTTAACATAAGGAGGGTCTCACAGCTGCATAATGGATGGGGAAACAGGCTCAGGAGGGACCATCCTTATATTAAGAGACTAAATTCCAGTGGTTAAGTGAGAAATTTGCTAAGGAGTTTTGCCCCATTTTGCAACTTTTCTGGCCCCATTTATTAAGTGAATCTCTGCAGTTCTTAAATGAGTAACATGGCTGTTATTAATTGACTTTACTCATCAGAAGGTCTCAAAAGGCGATCCCATGACCCCGGGACACGGCAACTGTCATAAATATGAGTCAGTCGTCAAGCACCAGATGACCATGGGGATGCTACAACAGTCATTAAGTGTGAAAAATGGTTATAAGTCATTAGTGCCGTTGTAACCGGTCGACCGGTCACTAAATGAACTGTTGTTAAGTCAAGGGCTGCCTGTATAAAAGTAACAGCAGGAGAATTGCCCTTTCAGACTTGCAAGGTTCTGTTAATGCAGCTGTACAATAAAGTAGAATTCGCCTATCTATTCGTGTTTCCTCTCTGCTCTACCTGGCAAGGCTGGCAGACATCACAGATTAAACAGAGTTGGAAGGGACCTTGTAGGTCATCTAGTCCAACCCACTGCCCAAGCAGGAAACCCTACACCATTTCTGAAAGATTAGGAGGCTCAAACTGGTGAATCTGGCAGCAGACACCACCTATATGAGAGCTCCCAGGAGATTTGTGGCACGAAGCTTCCTTTGTACACGTTCCTCGTCCATCACAGTGACTGGCGTTTTGTTCCTGGGAAAGAACACACTGCTTCCTATTTCAGGGAAATGAAACCAAACCTGTAATTTGGCAACCCTGGCAAGCTGGCATGTCATTAACTTTGCATCCATGCTAACATCAGCTAACAAGTCAAGGCACAACCCAGCCGATGGCCATGTTTTTGCCTGCCCTCTTGCAAACGAGCCCTGCATTCCAGTCAGTCAGCCAAAGCCAGATCCAACTCACGGCTGGCGTTTGTCATTTTCAAAAAGAGAAAAGAGATTGTTTCATTGCTCCAATGCCTTTCATTATAAACAAGACTGTCCAACTATACCTTTTCACCCTGAAAAATCTCCAAGGTAAGAATAACCCTGGAATGTTTAGCCAACATAGCTTCTTCCCTTCTCTCTCTATTCTTTCTTTTTATTTTAAGTCCTCTTCCTTGAATTGTATGGAAATTTAAAAAGTTAACTTAGCATGACATTAATGATTTCTAATACAGCCAAAGTCAGTGCTTCATGCGTTTCTTTTATCTCTTTTATCTTTCTTTTTTGTACTTATTTTTTTCTTTATACATTCTCTCCCTCTGAGTTTAGTTTATATTTGCTTTTACTGTTGTAGTTAAAATCTTCAGAGTATGTGTGCACAAAGGTTGATAGGTGGGGGTGTGGAAAGAGAGAGAAATGATAGAAATGGATGGGTGGATGGATGAGAGAGAGATGAGAGAAGGGAGGCAGGACAGACAGATACACAGACAGAGGACAGGTCCCTGGGGGTGGGGTGGGAACTGATATAGGTCAAGTTGTGCAATCAAGAGCAATAACACTTAAGACTTATATACCGCTTCACAGTCCTTTGCAGCCCTGGTCTCTACGCGATTTACAGAGTCAGCCTCTTTCTTGCCCCCCAACAATCTGGGTCCTCGTTTTACCCACCTTGGAAGGATGGAAGGCTGAATCAACCTTGAGCCTGGTGACATTCGAACTGCTGAATTGCAGGCAGCCGGCACGCAGCAGAAGTAGCTTGCAGTCCTGCACCCTAATCACTGCGCCAGCACGGCTAAAGCAAGCAAAACTATTTCTTTCTATGTGTCCAGCCAACAGCATCCTGTGTAAGTGTTGAGCTAACCTTCAAGCCGCATTGGTTATGGATGAAAAGAGTAAACTTACACAGCGCAAACTGAGCAATGGTGACAACGGTCAGGTTTGATGAGCTGACATCTGTCACAGAATCGAATGGCTGGAAAGAACACAACAAAAATGCCCCTAATTAATCATCATCACGAGTGCAAATTCCGTCTCATAAACTTGTTACTAGAAAGACCAAGGCATCTTTTGCAACCTTGGCAACGTTTAAGGTGTGTAAACTTCAACTCCCAGAATTCCCAGCCAGCATGGGGAATTCTGGGAGTTGAAGTCCATACATCTTAAAGCTGCCAACTTTGAGAAACGTAGGACTAAGGCAAGATTTGAGGGCTATTTTGAAGATAGGCGATGCCTTATATAAAACTACTTCCTAGGTGGCTGAATGCTACGGGAGAGAGATTATGGTGTAGAGACACGGGATTCATTCCAGCTGAACTGATGACTTTATGGACAAAGTCATTTCTTGACAACAGAAGTTATTTAATGCTTCCTTTTTCTAGGATGCTTGGTCAATTTCCTATATCGGAGTGAGTCCAATTCCTCCAACTTTTCTGGTCAAGCTTTTCAGGGGGTTCTATCATATTTTTTTACATAAAGCTTCTCTGATGATTTATTAGTCCCTGCTGAATACAAATGGCAAATTATGATGCTGATTTTCCATAAATTTACTGCTGAATTGTAGCATGCTCATCCTGGATATGAACACTGCTATTCATCATCCACTCTGGTGAAATCAGGAACAAGAATCAGAAAAAAAAAACACCCCAGTACATCCAATAGGGCAGGGGTCCTCAAGCACCGGGCCGCGGACCGGTACCGGTCCGTGGAACATTTTCTACCGGGCCGCCAGTTTGCTGGGCGCCGCCATCTTGTTTTGATGAGAAAGTGCTTCCAGGTGAGCTTTTCCGGTTGGAAAGCGGTGTTTGGGTCCTGAAGGAATCCTCGCGCCTTAGTTTCATCGAAGGGGGGGCGGCTTTGAACAAAACTAAGGTGCAAGGATTCTTTCAGCACCCAAGGCAAGGCGAGCCGAGCGACCGTCCCGAAGCAAAGCCCATCGACAAAGGTACAAAGGAGGAGTTGAAGGTGGCGGGGAGAAGCGGGGGACGACTGGCTGGCCGGTCGCTCGGCTCACCTTGTCTTGTCATGCGTACTGATGCCAGTACCGGGCCGCGGATCATTTTGTGATGCTGGTACCGGGCCGTGGCACAAAAAAGGTTGGGGGCCACTGCAATAGGGGACACCTTTACATTCCAGGGGGGGGGGGGGAGGAGCAATAATTAGGTCAGTTTTTCTCTATCTTGTGCCCTCCAGATATATTTTGGATTAGAGCTTGCAGAATTAGCAGCCAGAAGGGGCTATTTCCCCAGATCTGAATTCACCCCACCTCGAGTTTTACAATTCCAACTGGCATCTAGAAATCACAGTGTAGATTTCAGCTGAGGTGAAAATGCTAAAACCAGCCAGGGAAAAGGTTGCAATGATGTCACAAGGCCTGCATTTTGGTTTTAAGAGCTGGAATGAATGAATGAATGAATGCCTTATCGGTCCTTCGCCTTTAAATACAAAAGCCAGACATTTTGTCACCACTGGTTTTGATGATGCTCTTCGTCTCCCCCAAAGTTCCCCCCAAAATGGGGGGGTCCGTCTGGGTTGCTTGCCCAAACCAACTTGGAAACTTACCGCCATTCCCTGTTCTTGTGCAAACTGGCAACTTCCGGGCCATCTCTAGGAGGATCTGCCTTTGGCCCTCGGGCCTTTCTTCGTTCTCATAGCGCTCCTTGTCGGCATATGACATGTGGAACTGGAAGTAGGAGAAAACGAGTGAAACACACACAGTTGTAGAACAGGGGCCTCTTTATGACCTGGGGACTTCAGTCCCCAGAAATCCTGAGCCAGCTGCCTTTGAAGTGGCCACTCTGGAAACATCTTGCTTGAACCTGACCGGTCCTGGGGGGAATCAGCAGTGGGAGGCAGTTAAGGGAGGGAAAAGTTGAACAAAGGGATTTTGGCCCACGATTCTCAGTTCTGCTATACGCTTGACTTCTAAATAAAAGTATACCTTTTCTCCACAAATGGAGCCAAGGATTGTTCCTACTTCGAGGTTCAAGTGGTGGCAAGTCTGACATTAGGAATGGAGGTGACCAGAGGCACAGGTGTGCTTCAGGTGTCCAAAAAAGAAGCCACCTTCCATCACTGACAGAGAACACTAGGCAACATAATAAATGAAGATTTAGTGCAGGGGTGTCCAACCTTGGCAACTTTAAGACT